CGAGGCATTTGGTTTAATATTTTGATAACCTTGCCCAAGTAACGCACGTTAATGCCGTGACTGTGCAAGGATTCCGTTAGACTCTGGCCATCAATTGGTGGCGAAGAATGGGTCATATGTTCCTTGACGAAGGCGGGTATCTGCTTGAGGACGAGGAACTCGGCTGCTTCCTGTACGAGCACCTTCTGTTTTGCCAGCGAGCTGCAGGTGCCCTCCTCGCCATCCACGTGACGAATGCCGGGCGAGAACACGTCGGGGTTGAAACGGAAGTCAAACTCTTTCTCCTTTAGCGAACCAACGGCGGCGCAAGCCCGTTTAACTACCTCGGCAGCTTGCACCTCGTTCGACGTTGCTACATTGGACTGTGCCTCCCGAATGGCATTAACCATGGCCTCGGCGGTCTTTGTGTCGCCGGCAGTGGACTGCGCCTTCTCGTTCTCCTCATTCTTCTCCTCCTTAACATCGGTTTTATCAGCCCCGTTCACTTTACTTACAGCTTCTGCTCCTTCTAAGGCTGGAACAGGATTTCCCTCCGCTTTTTCAGACTGCTTCTTGGCATTAAGCTGCTGAAGGTGCACAGCCGCGATTCGGATAAAGCTAACATGTCGATCCTCGATAAAAGCTTCCAGCAGCTCTTGGCGCAGGCAGCACAGCTTGTGCCGGTGCTCGATGGGGAAGCCCATATCAACCAATTCCTTGCTCAGCTGCACGTCCTGAAGCTTCAGGAAGTTCACGTCTGGCGGGAAGGTGCGCAATAAATCGAGGATGTAGTGGCGACCATCGTTGCCAATAATGCCCTTGCACTCCACCGAGGAGCACAGCTCCACGGGTTCATCCCGCTCATTAAGCACTGCGTGTGGCAAGATCTTCAGATGCTTTCCGGCTTGTCTAAGAAGCTCCAAGTACTTGGGATGGCTGAGCACCGTCTTGCCAAAGTCAATGGAGCCGTAGACCACACTTTGCTCCTGCTCCCGCTCCAGAATTCCGGGAATAATAGATTGGGCGGTAACGCGGTAGCCGCGATAATCAATTACCACGGTTCCCAGGGTGTATAATCCTTCAACATCCACTGCATTGTAGACACGCACGCCGTGCAGGTCGTATCGTGGGGCAACAAATGCAGCTGCGTCGCCGCCCAGTTCCTTATAATGGTCTCTCACGTCAAAGCCCAACGAGAAGAAGATATTGTTCCAAATGAACATCTGCATCTTGGGGTCCTCGCCGGGATTAATGGCTAGCACGTTGCCGTCAATAACGGCCATGGCGCCCCTCGTGGCGGCGGTCACGAAGTCCCCGTGCACCTTGAAGATGGCGCGCTCGCGCAGCAAGCGCTCCGGCAGTGTCTTTCTTGGCAGTTCCCGCGTCGTCTGCAGCTCTTCGTTCCAGTCCCGTGTCTGTCCGGGGATGTGCTCTTCGTAGCTGGGGGATGAAAGGACCAAGGGTACAAATTAATAACTATTATTACTAATAACTAGCTAGAACTAGACTAATAAAAACTTTGTGGGCAACTTACCCTAATTTTGAGCTGAATGCATCCTCGGCACGAATGGCGTCCACGGTGTGCTCCAAGGTGGGAGATGCCCACTGGTACACCTGGTAGGGCGTAGCTACCCTTTCGAAGGCATGACGCATGGTGCGTCGCTTCTGGATGGTCTGGAAGGCACGTCGGAACGATGGTGATATGTGGGAAAGCAGATCGATCAGCGAGTGGCTGAGGTGGCTGGGATTGTCGGGCTTGGGGTTAAAGGTGTCGTCCGTCGACTGGTTGATGTAAAAGCCCTTGGAGCAGGCTGAGATGTGGAATCGTTTCTCCTCCATTGTGACAACGTACAGATACATAAGGTCCCCGTGCAGCTTTCTGGGACCGGGTGGCGGGTTCCAGGCGGATGTAGTCAGTACCTTAAGAGCCTGCGGTCCCTTAGCGTTCTTCACATTCGGATGCAATGGCAATAGTGGCGGCTCACTTACACCCGGAGTCACATACTCGGGCGGCGTGCAGTCCACAGAATCCGGTCGCGTCTTCTTCTTATCCAACAAATCACCCTGGGTGATCGTGTTTAAGTAGGTCAGCGATGTACAGTCAATGCCATTGTATGCGTCGGCCGGATCAAGGTTTTTGAGAAGATCACGGACATGGCGCACGTGAATACGAGCCTCTCGCATGGTGTACGGCTCCTCTACCACCTTGATGGTCGAGCCCTGCTCCAGGTTACTGATTGCCTTGAGCTCGGCGAAATTGTCAAGCGTCGCGTTGTCCAGCTGCAGCGAGAAGCATGTTCGATGGCACGTCTCCTCGCGGTCCATCAGCAGCTGGTGGATTTCCTGCACCAGTTCCATGCTGGACAGCTGAACGCACAACAGGTCTGCGCCGGGACTGCTGATGTTTACCGTGATGCCAACGTCCTGTAGGGCGTCCAGATCAATGTCCTCACCATCGGCCTCAGCATCCGGTGCTCCTCCATCTTCCGGTTTCTCCACATTGGCATTTGCATCGGCATCGGCATTGTCCTCAACTGCGTCCACCAATGTGGACTTCTCGGCATGCCCGTTGCTCAGAACGGCTTCGGTTGTTGGTTCAGGCGGGCTTTTGTTGCGGTTCTTCTTGCCTGCATGGGCGAAAAAAAAAGTAATTTGTTATTCAATATTGTTAGATGTATAGGGGGAAACGTGAACTTTGGACCGACTTTTGTTCCCATGTCTCTTAGACGAATCTTTTATGAATCTATTATTTTTTACTAGCCGACCCGTTCTTGAGTCGTTCGGAGAGGGTTTCATAGGGTTTTATGACATGTACCTGTTCCACATAATTATGAGGACTACCTTATCATATAAAATATACATACATAACTGAATAACGGGCTCTTGATTTGTTTTTAAGAATAAAAACATGAACATAATTCTCAAATATTTTCTGTTTCCAAGTATATACATTTCTGCAAAGTTTATGTTATAGTTTAGGGGTTTCCCATTCTTTATTGTTATTGGTTTTAATGTAATATGTATAAAGTTTTAAGATTTAATTTTGAGAATATTTAGCAAAATTGTGTTAGTTACGTAAAGCAATCAGAAAGTAAGGATAAATAAATTTCGCGTTTCTGTTTTTTAATTTTGTGACAAAACACAAATAATATTGAAAGAGGTACGTAGTCATGTTTACTTCCTGGCTCCGATTTTTACATAACAATACTGTTCGCATACTTTCGCCTCTCAGTGTGTCTGTGTCCGCCGGCAAGCACACAGCATGTACTTATGCATGTGTGTATGCCTATATACATCGATTTACAACAAAACAGCAGAAAAACAAACAGAAGGGGCAAGCGAGCTGATAAGGCCAAAGGGGCCGGGTTCGTTCGGAGTCCGTACGAACAGTCCGCCGAATAATCCAATCTCCTTTCGATCTCTCATCTCTCAGGAAAATGGAATCGACTTAACACAACCATGCTAATTTCAACAGCCGTATACTAAATTACAGCACTGTGAGATAGTGAGAGGGAGGGAGAGATAGAGAGAGTGCGAGTGGCAAAGAGAGAGTGGGAGAGGAGAAAGCAAAAGTGATAAGTACAATGTTCATTAACCGCAAGGGAACCAGAGAGACAAAGAGACGAAGTCTAGAGCGATGCGTCTACGGATAGAAAACATGATTTACATAATTGTCGTACAATTTGCGTGTGTTAAGTGCATGCATTTCGGGCCGCGCACGTGTTAATTGTAGGTTAAACGCAACAAGAAATCCGCCCGGGGGGTTAATGAACATTTCGCCGTCGTTGCCGGGTTAATAACATGTGCGTTGCCATGCCAAGAGGAAGAGAGAGCGGTGGGAGCAACACACTTGCAGTACACACGCACGCACTTAACTCCAATACTCACATACATTCACACATTTACGATTGCAATTGTAACGCACGCGGTTTTTAGGGAGGGAGGGAAGGGAAGGCTCGTACAAGGGGGCGGAGGGGCAGCCATAGACAACGGCGCCGCTTTTAAGGCATTATAGGGGAGAAAAAGCCCATTACGTAATGTTAAAAATGTTATGTGATTGGCTTTTGTGGCAAATAAAATATTGAGGCAGTTTCCAAGGTAGCAAAAAAAATGGGGAAGTGAGGATGGGTTGCTGAGTGGGTGGGTGGTTGGTTGGTTGGTTGAGTGGACATGGGCGTAGGCGGAAAGTTTAACGCACCTTTCTTCTTCGCAGCCGGCCCGTCGGCAGCCGTGCCATTGCCATTGACCAAGTTCTGATTCGAATTCTGGTGATTTGAATTCGGAATCGGATTCAGATTTTTTTTGCCGCCGGCCGTGTTGTTAGTCTCCTTGGCCTTGCCGCTGGCCTTAGTTGCTGTTGCATCGCTCGTGGCCGTTGCATTTGAATTCTTTGCCTCTGTCTCAAGCGCCATGCTCGTGCTTAACCTGCTCGCCAAAAACTCAACAAAACCAGCGGAGGAGACACAGAGTTCTAGTTCACGTTTCTTCTTTTTTTTTTTGGGGCCGACCGTCCGTGTTACACAACTCTAACCGCTCGCCGAGCTCGGGATGATTTCGGTTCGATTACGAGTGTCTTTCTGGTCGATTGCGAACGTGATTGTTGTTTGGTTAACGATCTCGTACGCATTTATGACAAGTGGGTCTTTGGTAGTTTTGTTCTTTTCAGCACATTACTTATCGAAGATATAAATCGGCCGATTCGCTAGAAAATAACGCGTTATGTTGTTGACGGCTGAGAGTGTGACCACCGGCTGAAAGTTTAAATATACCGCTGGAAGTGGCCTTGCTGCGGTATTATATTTGGTATTTACTTATATGCTGTGTATAAATGGAGATGGACTACAACTAGTGATGGGGGTCCAACGCACGAACACGAATACCAATATATATTTTTGGATTTTGTTTAAGAACAATTTATTATATTATATTAATGTGTAAATTTATCAAATTTATATCAAAATTATTTATGTAGAACTAGACAAAAAAAAAAAAGATCAAGCTCTGTTTCGGCAGGTATTTTTTAATACTTGCATTACAGCCACACATAAAATACTACTTTAAAGCAAACAAACATGTCGCTTATAAAGAATTTGGTAAAAGAGTCCGAACAAAAACCAAGGAAAAAAAAGAAGAATGCAGGATCTGGACAAAGCGATTCTGATGAAAAGGACAAGCCCATGCGACCGTTCGTCAAAACCGCCACCGATCTACAGCGGCTGAAGCTGGAGAAGCTCATGAAAAATCCGGTATGTTTGCATTGGATAGCTGGGTCGAATTTACATTAATGGACTTTTTATAACCAGGACAAGCCCGTGATCATACCGGAGCAGCGTCGCGAGCGGGACTTCATGTCCTCGGTGCCCACATTCGTGCGGAATGTAATGGGAAGTAGTGCTGGAGCGGGTTCCGGCGAGTTCCATGTGTACCGTCACTTACGCCGCAAAGAGTACGCTCGCCAAAAGAACATTCAGAACCAGAGTGCCCGCGAAGTTGCAGATGAAGCCTACCAGCAGAAGTTGGACGACAATAGACGTGCGGCCGAGGAAAAAACTGCTAAGAAAAGAGCCAAACGGATGAAGAAAAAACAGAGGGCCAAAAAGCCAAGGGAGGACAAGAAGCCACTGGCTAATGAAGCCTCGGAGGCGAGTAACACAGATTCCGAGGAAGAGCCCACGAAAGAAAACGCAGAAACCAGTCCAGAGGAAGAACAGGAGGTGGCCTCCAAGGAGTCCGCCGAAAATAACACACAGAAAACTCCAAACGAAGAGGCAATAGATTCAAGTACGGAAGCCATCAGCGCAGAATCTACTGTCAAAAGCGTTGAATCCGCAAAGGCAGTGGAATCAGAAAGCACTGGAGCTACAAATGTATCCCAAGATGTGGACCAAGAACAAGACAAGCCTGTGCCCTAGTACCTTCGATTGTATTCCTATCAATAAACCGTCTAGATTAATAAAACAAAGTGCGGTTTTATTCATAGTACTTTTGTAATATATATTAAGCGATTGCTATACGTCGCCAGTATCTAGGGGTTCTCATCTGAGGCCATCTTTCTAAAGCAGTTCGGTTGAGAAGAAAGCTGTTTGCGAATTATGCATTGAGTTGTCATGGCTTTAGTGCGCATTTTGTTGTCTTACATTAATAAGGTGCATCAAATGTTGCATTTTCGAGTATAATAAATGCTTTCAAAATTTGACATCGAAGGCAATACAAAGTCAATATTTAATTATACCCTTGACAGAAAACCACCGTCTAAAGTTTGGGTACAAACATAGTTTTTCTGGTTTCTTGAAGAAGCAAGATTTTATTGTTTTCAATAATTAGATTTCTTTGAATCCGAAAAATCGTTTCTTCTAATTGCTGCATTTTTCTGCCTTTTTTCAGATACATCTATATGATTTCTCGCTTTTCCACAAATAATTATTTATATTATATTTATATATAGGTATATTTTTTGCCGTTGCTCTTAAATAAACAATTACAAATAAATTTGCAGCATTTTTCTACTATGTAAACCGTAAAAGTAAATTATATTTTGAACTTAAAGCCAACTTAAATTTGTAAGCATTTTGAAAGGTATTTGTTTTTGTTGAAGATCCTTTCGCGAAAAAAGAACACAAAACAGGAATTGCGTAAAGTGAATACGGTTAAAATAAGCAAAACTGTTATCGTAAAAACTACCTCAATTATGATAAAAAGCATGTTGCACTTCAAGTAATTCTCATTAGCAAACTTCTCTTTGTGAGTACAAGTTTTCTTAGATGTTGCAATACTTTTTGCTTATATTTTTTTTCAGCGAATTTAGCTATTATTATGCATACATTGCAAACACTAAAACACATTAACGTCATTGAATTTTTTCAAGTGAGTGCGAGTGCTCGGGTACATTTGTGGATGGAAATACATTTCTGCGCCACATGGTACAACTAGCTGTCGAATGAAATACATTTTACAATTGTAAATACCTTTCATTCTCATCGAATTCTACGACAAATTCATGTCTGTTTGTTTAGCGAGCCTGTGCTGGTTTATAAAGGAGGGCTTTAACTTTAAACGATAATCGTATGTAGGTATATTTTAGGCATTATGTTTATGTACTTTGTATAGTAGGTAGGTAGTTAGTTTAGTTAGAAGGTCGTACAATTAAATAAATAATTCGTTTTCGCCGGTTTCATTCAGTTTTAAAATACAATATGTTCATTTTGCTTTCGGACGCTGACACAGAAAGCGTCTGGAAAATAAACTTCCGCGAAGGTGGCTGAGACTGCTCGTATGTGTGGGCGTGGTGTGTGGGTATGTGATTTAATATATTAGCTTTATTTATGTTTAAATTGAGAAGTAAGCAGAACCCTTGCCGAGTTTTCCTTAATTTAACGACATTCCCAGACTTTAACTGTTTGATCTACGCTACCGCTAATAACGTACGGATGCGCTTTGTGAAAATCTGCAAGGAAACGCATGGTAATTAAAATACATTTCATATACACAATTGGTTTGTGACTCACCTATGGAGGTGCAGAAATGCTGATGCGCGTATAGCGTCTTCATGCATCGCTTGTTGCGCAAGTCCCAGACCCTAATAGTCTTGTCATCGCTGGCCGACACCAAGTATTTGCCACCAGGATGGAATGCCAGGCCACGCACCCAGTTGTCGTGGCCACTCAGGGTAAGCAGGCACAGACCGACACTCACGTCCCAAATGCGAATGGTTTTGTCGCGAGAGCCGGAGGCCAGGAACGGGCCCTGGTGGTGGCCCTTCTTGTTGTCCGCTCCGGCTGCCTCGTTTATCGCAGAGGCTGCGGCTTCCGGCGCCCAGGCAATGCACTCCACAGTATGCTCATGATCGCGTAATTCAACCTGCAGAAGAATCAAACCGTCGTTAGACTCTTCATCGTCAGCTGAAGCTATAACTCGCCATGCTCACCTTGCAGTCTTTTGAATTCGTCAACCAAACACGTATTGTCTGATCATTTGAGCATGTGGCAAAGATGCTGCCTTCGATGTGCACTCGCACCATTCGCACCCACTCTCGATGGCCTGTGTAGGTTTTCACACAGTAGCTGAGGGTAAGAAATCACATGCTGGTCAGATATATCCTTTATACGAAGCGATCTTCTTTACTCACCCTGTGGCCACCTCCCACATTTTAATGGTGCGGTCCCGCGATGCAGAGAGTACGTAATCTCCGGCCGGCACAAAGGCCACCGACGAGACATTGTGATCGTGACCATGCATGGTTTTGATGCACTCGTAGCTCTGCTGGAAATCCCACAATTTGATGGACAAGTCCGCGCTGCAGGAAGCTGTTTTAAATAAAACAAACTTAGTGTCTTTCTACAATTTTAAATGTGTCAAGGTCTTACCCAAAAGCTTGCCCTGGGCATCGAATGCCACATCCTGCACCGAGTCCGTGTGTCCCTTCAGACTGCGCTCGTATTCGCCAGTTTCGAAGTCCCAAATCCTAATGGTGGCGTCTTCGGATGCGGAAACCATAAGACCAAAGATGGGATGAAAAATTACCTGCAATAATGAAGTATATGTAGTTTTTTATCAACTTGTTCATCGACTTGAGGCCGACTTACCCTCGTTATGCTGGCACGATGACCGGTCAGGGAGAACTTCTCTGGTGGCCGCGGTATCCACTCGCCAGGCGTCCGTTTGTTCTTTGTGGGCGCACCCTCGATGACCTCCTTCTCAGCTTCAGTAAGCTTAGCCTCTAATTCCATAACTTTCTTCTGCAGCCGGATGACGGACGTCCACTTCTTCTCCAGTAGTCCGCCAAACTTCTTTTCCACTTCTGTGCTGAGATCGGCCTCCTTACGGAAGGTCTCCAATGAGTCGGCGTAGCCATTTGAGCCCAGATAATCGGCAATCGCTTGGTTACTGATGGGGGTAGAATTAGATTAGATTAGTTTAAAGGGTACACTTATGTCAGACGTCTAGAACTTACAGCTCCTCGCGCTGCCGCTGCGACAACACCATTTTCATACTGTTTTCCTATTTGGCTTGTTTTGCTTCTCTCGTTCGATTCGATTTTCCGCCTTCAATTCGTGTAATTCTGCAATGGAAAAGGTGGACACTTAATATGTGTACAGTAGTTCTTCCCGCAGTCAGATATATAATATATTTCCTATATATTTTGAAATCCATTTCATTATAGAGAATTATGTGTAATTTGTGGTTCGTCTAACGAAATGCTACTGTATAATGATGAATCTCTGTGCCGGAGACAGGAAATTGGTTTCGCAAAACTTAAATGCCAAAAATGCCAGCCAGTTTCGTTTGAGTTCTCATGGAGGGCAAGTCACCCACATTTTCTTGGTTTTTTTGGCATCAGTATTTCAGTTTCCTATGCTCACCTTTCGTCAAGTCATTATACTGTTTTTATTCTCTTCTTTACTCCCAAAACCCAAAGCGGAGCATCATCATTATCATCGTCTTTGGTTTGTGGCACACATTTTTGAGTTGCCCGTACCTCGAATAATTGGGCAAAAAAATGATAATTGAAACTTTGGCAAAGCTTAAAGCGAACGACCATTTGCTTACCCTGCAATCGAACTGCACTCGTCATCGGTGAGTTCAAGGGTCGATTCCACATGGAATTAGGTACAAACAATACAGGGGAGCGGTGTTTGTATGATTAGTGCCCGTGTTTTTTGGACTGCAAAACCTATTCAATGAACTCAAGGTGGCCAAATCACGGGTATAGCACGCAATAAAACAGCACCAATCGGAAACAAATAGCGAACGCATATCTGGCGTACTTGATAACGATGGACAAATGACGCGTTGCCAACAAAAACCAGTGAAGGAAAATCTACGGCAAGGCAAAGCCAATTAGCCGGACTTAACGGTGGTTCAAGCAACTTCTTATAGGTAAATAAGGCTGCGAAAGAGCGTGCGAGCGAAGAAGCAGAACAAGCACGGACACCGGAGGTGCAATTGATAGCATCAAACCGAATTCGTTTACTTATTACCTAATTTAATTCGTACTAAAACGTTGTTTAAAGTATTTATTATACGATCTTGCAACCTTTCATAATTTCTTTTCTAATAAATATATGCAGCTTGAAAAAAAAACAGAAAAACTGCAATGTCCTAAGCAAAATATTTTTTGAAAACATAAACATCTATAATTCAGAACTAATATCCTGACCCCACCTGTAAGAAACACTCTCACACATCACGGACTAGGAAATGACGTTTTCAAATTATTTTTGGCCAAATGATATTTAACGATTTTTTTGAACTAGCAAATGTGGCAAAAAAAAAAAAAAAAAAAAAAAAAAAAAAAAAAAAAAAAAAACAAGAAGCAAAAACTGACCAAACGGGTTCGCAGTCGAATCCGATTCGGAACCGCCACTCAATATAGCCGTGAGTCATGCGGCTGGACGCGACTCGGACTACTCCTATACTGTCTTATCAGCTGTAGTGGAGCACTTGGCGGTCATCATTTGCATATTGTGGGTGGATGTTTGGCTGCGCGCTAACTGCGCATCTAAATATATCCCAGGAAAATCGATGAAAAGCGTTGCGAACGTCACGAGTATTAATGGAAAAGTGGAGCGTGGGCAGCAAAGTGGGGTTAAGATGGTGGGGGTCCCTTAAGCCCCCGAAGCACCGAACGGAGTCAACACTGTTTGTGTTGTGGCAACCAGGCATTCCGAAGCACAAAGCCATGCGCATTGTAACCGTAAAGCTGTGGGTGTATGCCACATGGGGGAAGTAAAACAATGGGAAGGGGCGTTTGGGTCGCACGCCACACCAGAAATGTTACTAAATCAGTGAAAAAATATGCTATTCTCATTGTTGCACTTGCCCAAGCAAATTTAATATTTGAATTTTAAATGGTCTCGTGTGGGCGTGAGAGCGAGATAGTTGGCAAGGGGAATATACCAGGGCTGAATACATCACACTCACACACACACAGTAAAGTCTTGTATTTTAAGGATCTTTCTCTCCCTCTCACTCCCCCTTTCGTTTGGATTCGCTTGCTGATTTTCTCTTTCTCCCGCTCTGGCAAACAGACCTTGCACTTGCCTTTGCTTGTTTATTTGCGTGTTTCATTGATTAGCACACACTCACACAAACGCGCCGGCGAGCAAATGCAACTGCAATTTCAAGTGCAAAAAGAGAGAGGGAAAAGGAAAACAATAGCCAAAAAAAGCTTTGAACTCCAGCTTTAACCCCTAGGCGGGCATTGAAAGCAGGGACTAACCGTTAAGCGCTGAGTTTCTGTTTTGCCTTTCTTTAACCCACTGCTGGGAACGTGCAAAAAGCTCGTCACCAGATAATAGAAACAATTTGCAGTGTCAGGAGCGCTTTCCACACATTCTGGGAAATCGCAACGGGTCTTGAATACCTATAAGAATGCCGCAGCAAAAAGCCCAAAACGGAAAACTGTAAAAAAAAAAAACAAACAACAACACAAGCACAACGAAGAAAATAAAACGAGATTTCTTGTGCATTGGCAGAACTGGTTTGCCCAGTAATAGGTGTTGGTCTATGGGGGAACGGGAAGTACATATATGCAAGGAATCGGCCAGTTCGGGGACTCGACTTGGCTAAAAATCGATCAATTCTACTTTTGGCGAGGGGGAGGACTCCAACACATGCGCGAAAATCCACAGACATCGTCACTCGCACACATACACTCGCGCACGCACACCAACGCACGCGATGTGTCATCGCTTTCTGGTGGTTGTAAATAAAATGTAATCGTAGTTCGTTTCTCCACTTATTTACTGATCGCCTTTTTGTTCAACACACTATTTTTTTGTGCATAATTTGCATAACTCTTTCGCTAGTTTTTTCATTCTCTTTTCAATAACAAACACAATAACAACAACAGTTTGAACGAAAATACTGTTACGACGGCCATCTTGGATAGAGAGAGGGGCCAAGAGAAAGAAATGTCCCAAAGGCAATATGCAAAATGGGGAAAAAGGACAATATCCAATCGCATATATAGAATATAATATTTTTGTGACTCCAAACATCAAACTCGGTACCTGACGCGCGCACTAACACTCTGTCACTGGCCGTTTTTTACAAATGACGTTTTTTTTTTCATTTTTTCCCAGTTGCCCATTACACAGTTTGGTTGCGAAAAATCCAATTCGCTTGGGAGTTCTTTTTACAACGCGACGACTCGATTTTTGTTCTCATTCTGCAGCGAACTTTACTTACATCAATTTAGTTTTTCATATATTTAGAATTAGGCTTATTTATTTATGTTTAATCGAATTATACGAAAAGAATTACGCAGAAAACTGACGAGCGGACGAAAATGCTTCGATTAGTGTGACCGCGGTGCAAGCAGCTGAAAAAGCATCACGCGACTATCGATTGTAGCGATTTACTATCGATGCAAGCCAGCGATGTTGAAGCTGCCCAATAAAATATATATGAACAAAATAAGTACTTTTTAAATCATGCTAACCTAATCTTAAATATAAGGTTTAAGAAATTAAATTATTGAGTAACGAACAAGTTTCGGAAATCATAGCTCAGCACCTACTTGCAAGCAAGCGCAGTGTGAACAGCTTAAAAAATTGGCGCGTAGTTCGAAATACTGATAAGGAAATTGACCTTCGTCAGCTTTTTGTACGGAACCACACAGCTTGCCAGTTAGTGATCAAAATGGATTTCCAATTATTTTTACCATATATGTACTTGCATTTATTTATAAGACTTTCGATTGTCAACACTGCAGTTCGCTAATTGTAAACTGACTTTGTTGTTATCTTACTCACACACTCGCGATGGGAGAAAACTTTCCTTATCACTGCTCACTCAGCGCCAGAACAACACAACCGATTTACGGAGTACTCCCTTTGGCGCTCAGTGTTCGAGAATCGCTCTGCGGAAACGGTTATAATTACTGGCATTCGGGCGATAAATTCGTTATTCATATTCAGTGCCCAAATATTCGCGGTCTCGCGCCCCCAAAACATCAAAAACAATTTTAGCCCGCATCTGTGAGTGCACGGTTTTGAACACAATCTCAACCTCTCATTGGGGAAATTGCGGAGTAATGTAAATCATTTGCCAAATTTGGGGACTCGTCTGTTATCAGTGCTCGATTTAATCAGCCATTTGTAGGCATTACATTATGACAGTAACAGTATAGCCGCTATATCGCTGGATTCGGTGGCTATATGTATGTAGATGTACATGATTCAGATTTGCAATGTGGGCTAATTCCGCGGTTGCAGATCTTCCAGGCCTTATGGCGTTTAAATACCGAAATCGAAAGCCATTTATGAGCCAGACACCCATATGGGTGGGTGTTATCAGGCCGACTCTGATTATATGCCGATGATAAAGGTCGCTTGTTCGCGCGTACCCGTTAAATTGTTATTATTGGCTTATTTGGTGTTCGCGCACCGCGATTTGTTTAAACAATCGTGCACAGACATTGGCAAATTGTCACTGTTCCACACTTTCTGATAACCGTGTGCCATCAATAATGATCGGAATATGTCATTTTATGTCATTTACTTTAAAGAGCTGTCTTCTTTGGTTGCTTCCGTTGCGGCGACAACTGAAATTAGTAATTAGTGCTACCAATTTCGAAGTGCGGAATTCTTTCGATTAGAGAGCTTCGGTGACGCACTTCTCATATCGGCTATATGGTATAGTCTATATCTATTGCTATTCCCCATTTCATTCGCGACTGCGTGATGGGATTGCAAACGGAGCTCTGATTAATTGCATTCGATTCGGCGGATTTTCAGCGATTTCAGCGAATCTGTCGTTAATTTTCTTCGATTATTATTGGGTAGCCCAACAAGCCAGATTACTATCAGTATCTATATCTGCTGGCCACTTCTCCAGCATTTGAAGTGGCGTGATAAGATTCTAGGGATCCAAAAAAAAGAGAATATTTCGACATAACATTGCTCGCGTTCTCAACTTCAATCTCATGAGTTTCCGCTGCATTCATGGATTTGGGCGTAAGCCCCGACCTTGATATGACCCCTTTTCGGTATCTCGATCCATTCCGCGGATATTTCGGTATCCATTATGGTGCTTGTGAAATAACCATAAATCGCTCGCAGGCAATTTATGTATTGCTTTAATTTGTTGCGCTGGTCAGCAACTTGGAGATCCAGAATCGTATACCACATCGCGAGATAAACGAAAGTTCGGCGGCCACTAATTGTTTACGAATCACCTTTCGTTTGCCCACGTCCAGTGAACTCTTATTTGTTGTGTTTATAAACAAATGAAGCAGTGTGTGGAGCCGCCCAGTGATTAGCAATTGGGCGAGGTTAATGCATCGCGGAAAATCACGAGAGGGAACCGGTTGCTTTAGCTGCACGCCGATAACCATTTGTTATTAAAAATTAATAACGCATTACTCACCGTATCAGCAGCAGGAGCAATGAGGCCCTAAGATGCACATCGCAGAGTGGAAGCAATCGTCCAGGGTGTACGCACTGATCCTTGCCCTCTGGATCGCTGGGGTCCAAGGACAGGAACTGGCCGAGAGTAAGTATTATTTAGCTCCCTAAAAGAACATTAATAGTTAAATTGAATCGAACCTATGCAAATAATACTAATTCCAATACTTGCGTACCTCCAGAGGTGGATGTGACTGTGGTTTCTACGGCCTATACACTCGGGTTTAGCATCTCCAACGAGGCCCAGTACTCCATCGATAAGGTGACCTGTCGCAATGGATCCGGATCGGAAACCGAGGCCAACGCCGATCACGTGTGGTTGGTAGAACGTTTGGGTTCTTTGATATCTTGGACTAATATACATACGTATGATTTCTAGCGAAAACCTTAATCCTTGCACCTTCTACACGTCGGTGGTCTCATTCCGGTCAAAGGTCGTCGGCAAGCCATCGCCTTCTGACCAACCGGTCAATGCCTACACTGAATATAAGCGTGAGTTAATACATATTCACATATTAATACATAGTCTCTGATAGTTTGAAATAAAACCAAAACCCATATAATCTTTTGTTCACTAGAGCCCAGGACCAATGTGACCTCAGTGGAGGCCACAGCAAACACAATCAAGGTGACCTGGCAGACGACCGACCGCGCCTGTGTGGAGTCCTTCGGAATCGCGGCAAAGGCGCCGGACTACACCAAGTCCTTTCAGCTGCTGAACGACAAAAGTGTTCAGACTTTCGTCAGTTTAAGCGCCTGCCTTACGCACACGATCACCCTGGAGACGCGGAACAACGCCAGCATCGTGGTGGACATTGATGCCATCGATGTGGACACCCTGTACGCGGAGCCCGGCGATCTCCTCATGAACGTAACGAACCTAGCCAGCGGCATTACAGTAGTCACGTGGGGAGATCCCTCCGAGAAGAACTGCATCAACAACTATGTCTTCAAGTGGCAACGCAACGATTGCGGAACGGATCAAAACCAGGATACCACCACGGAAGAGACCAGCACGGATAGCACGAACGATGTGGACTATGCTACTACCACGCCCATGGAGACCACACCAGATCCGCCGAATGATAGAGGTAATCATTAGGTTCCCCTCATTACCTCTTTTAAGCTATGTGCTATATTAATTCCAACCAGTTGAGTGCGAGTGGACCGATGTCTCCGCCGATGGCAAGCTGAGGGAATACATCCTAGCCGATCTTCAAGGATGTGAGCTGTACACCTTTGAGGTTTTCATCAACGAGAACAGCACGGCCAAGGCTTCTCAGCTGTTTACTTCGGCAGAAAAGAGTGCGTACAACTAGATAACCAGATAACCAAATAACCCATAACTCCATACTCCCATGCTTTAGTGGTCAGTGCGGTCTATGAGCCCAGTTTCGCCGCCTATCCCACCCAGTTGCATTGGACTTGGTCTTCTCCCCAAAATCACGCCAAGTGTGTGGCGAATTACAATGTAACGCTGACGGGTCCCATCCAACGATCGGAAAACAAAACATTTAACGTGGTCACTGAGGAGACGTTCGCTACCTTCGACGACCTTGATCCGTGCGGGATATACTTGGTGGAGATCGTGCCCAATCAGCTAAACGGAAGCACTGGAACCAAGTACCAGGAGCAGAGCACCGTTGCCGAGGACCGTGAGTGAAAGCGCTCTAGCTCATCCCAACTCATCCGGCAGTTATGACGGATTACCTTCTTGCAGAGCCTTCCGCGGTTCAGAATCCCGAAGTGGAACCAAGCGCCTACTCGATGGAGGTGGTCTGGATGACGCCCAAGTACGCCGATCTCTGCATCGATGGCTACCGGCTGTCCGGCTGGATGGTGGATGAGACGGAGGTTGAGGTCGAAGCCCTTAGTCTTACCACCCAGAACACGACGGTGGTTTTCGACAAGAACTTGCTGGCCTGCCAGGCCTACATCATCCAGATAATCCCATATACCACGGAAAGCCTCGATGGCCAGCTCATACAGGTCGGAGTCGAGACCAAAGCAGCTATTGTCGATAACTCTAAGGTACCACTCATCCTCAATATAAATCCTAAATACGTAGACTAACTGCAGACATTTTGCTTCAGATCAAGCTGGAAATGAAGCAAGCTGGCCCCCAATTTATTGAGTTAACCGCCTTCAATGCGGACTATAACAACACCTGTCCGACGATCTTTGCGCTTTTCACCTGCAATGCCACCACCGAGGTGCGCAATCCCTATGCGGAACGGTATGTGGAGGGACACAGCAAACAAGGTGGGTCCTGTGGACATCCTATGGCTGTACGATCGCTGTTCTAATCTCTTCCATTCTCAGGTTTTAATGCAAGTCTTAGTCCACTGTCGCCGTTCACGGTCTACGTCTGCAGAGTAATACTCTACAATGTGGCAGGACCTTCCGAGCCATATGTCCTCGCCAATCTGAAAACCACAGCCTATTGTATGGTATATCGATCTTTATAAGGAACCCATATGTAAATGGAATTCCAATTGCAGTTCCCGAGCAGCCGGAGAATGTGATGCTGGAGAAGAGCACGGAGAACAGCCTTCTGTTCAAATGGGATCCGCCCACCTACACAAATGGACCCATGAAGTACTACCAGGCATTCCTGATGCGCCACGAGGCCAGCTACTTTGTGCCCGAGGAGTGCGACGACCTGCCCCAGGACACCAAGTCGGAGACCAAGGGCGATCCTAATGTGAACTTCACGGGTCTGGCTCCGGCGGTTCGATATATGATGCAGGTCGCGGCACTGAATGACTTCGGAATGGGCACCTATACCGAACCCGTAATTGGAATCACTTTGCCCGCAGGTAAGCTAGACCCTTATCAAGTGCACTTGATTATCTAAAAGAGTATTGCTGATCCTGCATAGATGCAGAATTCTTGGACTATATGATATGATAATGTGTTGCGGATTGAACCCCCACAATCAAGGCTATTGAAAGTTCATCTAGTAATACCAATGTAACTAACCTTGCAGTATCCGACAAAGTGACCGAGTTGAGCGTACTGTCCCAGGGTCCGGAGAACAACAACGCCGTCTACAGGGCGAACGTGACAATCACCTGGAAGGTTCCCTGCAGGTCCAATGGCGATATAGAGTATTTCCAGCTGAACTTTAGTGGCTCACGGACGAACTTCGATCCGTACGCATTTCAACGGACGGTGGAACTGGACAGGGGCAATAAACAGGGCCGAATGTCCTACACGGAGACGGATATACAGCCGCAGGTCGACTATACGGTGGAGGTGTTCGTGAAGAATCGCAATGTGGAACAGTTGAGCGCCAGCGTATCTGACAATTGGCAGTCGCCGCCGGGACGTAAGTATCGGAATTGTGGCATAAGCCTTAAGGATAAGTAATCCCTTGATTACCATCCATGTAACTTCTTGCAGTGCCTAGCATTCCGAGTGAAGAGCTGATCAAGCAAATGCGTGCCAACGTCGAGGAGACATCTAATCCAACGAAAACCGCCATTGTCCGACTGCCTGCCGACATCATGACATCCGAGTACGGTGACATCAAGTGGGTGGCACTGATGGTCTCCCAGAAGATCTGCGCTGGAGTCCCTAGCCTCAAATACGATGTCAGCAGCGATTGGCCAAAGGTGCTATCCTACCAAGATGCCGGAGCAGATGGCACCGGCGACTGCAGCCTGGAGTACCAAACAACCGAGGAGCGCTGGCATCCGGTACCCGTCCAACGTCGCCAAAGGGATGGAGAGCTAGTATCCAAGAAGGAAATCGTTTTCACCATCGGAGTGGACAAGTGTTCCGAGACCAAGAAAACCTACTGCAATGGACCTCTGCTAGCCGACACGGACTACAACGTTGTGGTGAGACTGTTCACCGCGTCTGGTTACAGCGACGCCGCCGTACTTAACTTCAAGACCAAGGCGGCCATTAAGGTCACCCTGATCCTGGTGAGCGTTTGCAGCTGTCTGCTGCTGGCCTTCGTGCTGGGTTTGACGGTTTTCTGGGTGCGAAAGCGATTGGACTGGTAAGTCAACGATGGCAATCTTCTGCAGAAAAACTTAACTGCGACTTAACTGCCTTTGGTGCAGGAAACGGGATTCTGGTCAGGGTATCGAGGACCCCTTCGGCAATGTCATTGCCAAGAACTTTGCCATCTTTTATACAGAGGTCGCCAAGCCGGAGAAACTGACCAGGGAGTTCAAGGAGATCACCGTTGTGGCCTTGGAGCTCAGCTACTCCGCCTCCGAATTGGGTTGCCACAAGAATCGCTACGCGGACATATACCCCTGTAAGTTTATTTCATAATAGGAAACCCTTTTGCATTTGCATATTTAATAGACGACAAGAATCGCGTGATTCTGGACATCGATGCGGAGGGATCGGACTACATCAATGCCTCCTTCATAGATGTGAGTTGTGGTTATCTATAATCCAAGAATTCAAGAGATCCTCTTAAATGCACCTACTTCACAGGGTCACACCCGTAAGAAGGAGTACATAGCCACCCAGGGACCGAAACCAGAGAGTGTGATGGACTTTTGGCGCATGGTCCTGCAGTACAACGTGCGGGTTATTGTTCAAGTTACCCAGTTTCGCGAGGGCAATACGGTTGGTACATGTTAGGTCCTCGAAGTCGAAGCTAAGCCATCGTTTTCTCCACAGATCAAGTGTCACGAGTACTATCCTTATAACGTGCGTGGATTGTCTGTGACTATCAAGTCCAAAGAGGTTTTCGAGCTGTACGACCGCACTGAGTTGACCGTTGTGCACGACAAGTACGGACTGAAGGAGAAGGTGATCCACTACTATTTCAAAAAGTGGCCCGATCACGGCGTGCCCGAGGATCCCATGCATTTGATAATGTTCGTGAAGAAGGTGAAGGCGGAACGGCGACCCAGTTACTCGCCCATCGTGGTCCATTGCAGTGCGGGAGTGGGCAGAACGGGCACCTTTATAGGTCTGGATCTGATCATGCAGCGACTGAAGAGCGAGTCGAAAATCAATATATTCGAAACGGTGAAAAAACTGCGATTCCAGGTGGGTTTTTCAGTGGTAGCCTGTACCTATTAGATTTATCCTACTACTTCTCTAACCTTTAGCGAATGAAAATGGTGCAAACGCAGCAGCAGTACACGTTCCTCTATGCCTGCACCTATGAGCTGGTCAAGCATAAGATTCCCCGAGCTGCCTTTAAAATGGAGGGGCGTCCCAAATCCGAGACTCTGCCCGCCATTCCAGCACCCAAAAAGGTGAGCTTTCCGGACGTGGATGTCGGCGACGACTACGTGTCATCGGCACCGATGTCCGAAGTGGAGAACGTGCCCAGTCTGCAGCTGCCTGCTCGGTTCTCCGGTCTGCGGAGTAGTAGCCCACCAGGCGAAGACGATGGTCCACCTGCGAGCAGTAATATGTGAGAGAAGCTGTGTTCTTTTAGCATTCGTATTAACAATGTGTTGACAATAATAGCCAAAGAAATGTGTGTCTAAAGTGTAAATTAGGAGTGAAACGTGGATATAAATTTTGAAATTGCATTTGATAAACTGTTTTTGCACATAAATTGTATATATAAAGAAGGGCATGTATAGCACAAAACTACATTTTATTTAACTTGATTATTTAGATGGACTGTTTTTATTCGGAAATAAATAATTTAAATAAGTTTAAGGGTATGAGTAAATAACTTGTAAACTTAAAAACAAGTTTATATAGTGTATAACAATTTATAACACTTTTTATTAAATTCAAATTTGGCGGTAATAACTGGAAAACAGAGAGAGCGAGACAACTATATTTTCACAACGGCGGTGCACGCCTTACAGCACTATTTACTGCAGGCATTTTACAGCACTGTTAGGTAGATAAATATATTTTATTTATTTTAGTAGAAAATAAACCCTACTCTTCAAAATGTCCGAGCGAAAGGTCTTAAACGTAAGTAAATACATGTTAAGCTAACAGACCAGCACTTGACCGACTCCTCTGCAGAAATACTATCCGCCGGACTTCGATCCGTCGAAGATTCCGCGCATGAAACTGGCGAAAAACCGCCAGTACACCGTGAGATTGATGGCTCCATTTAATATGCGCTGCAAAACCTGTGGGGAATACATATACAAAGGCAAGAAGTTCAATGCTCGCAAGGAGGACGTGGAGAACGAAACCTACCTGGGCATTAGGATCTATCGGTTTTACATCAAGTGCACACGATGCCTGCAGGAGATCTCCTTCAAGACAGATCCGCAGAACACGGATTACGAGATTGAGGCGGGGGCCACCAGGAATTTCATGGCTCTCAAGCTGGCCGAGGAGCAGGCACGCCGCGAGGAGCAGGAATTGCGCGAGGAGGAGGCAAACAATCCCATGAAGCTGCTAGAGAACCGCACCCAACAGTCGCGCAACGAGATCGAAATGATCGAGAGCCTGGAGGAGCTGCGTGATCTCAACCGCCGCCAGCAGACAGTGGACTACAACACTCTGCTGCAGCAGTACAACACGGTGGAGACGGAAAGAGAGCGCCAAGAGCGGGAGGAGCGAGAAGACGAGGACTTCATCAAGTGGGTCCATACAAGATATTCTATGAAGGCTGTATTTTTAACACATTGCATTTCCCTAGGTCTGTAAACTTTAGGAACAAGCCAGAAGGAAGCTCGCGTGTTGTGGCCGAGGAAATTATTGAGGAGGTCAAGGAGGAACCGTTGGACCCACTGCCAGCACCACCACCAGCCAAACAGGCTAAGCCCAGCACGCTAAGTGTATCAGCCACATCATCCCACAAAGCATCTGCAGCGCAGTCTCTGGTCAAAAGAAAGGCTCCTTTGGTACTTGTTAAACCCAAGACAACTCCAGTAGCGAAGCAAGTTGATCCAAAGCCCAATGAAGCCACTGGAACGACGCAAGGCGAATCCAAACCAGCCGCACCTCAGCCCTCAGTTGCATCCGCACCACCGGAAACTAAAGCTACAAATCAGCCAGCTGCCGCTCCAGTTGGACTATCCCTCTTGGCTGCCTACAGTGACAGCTCAGAGGATTCCAACTGACCAAGCGTTTACCTGACACAGCTAACAACTCAAGACAGATTAAAGAAGGTCCAAATAATAAAAGCAATCGATGGTTTTATTCTTGGGAATTTGAAACATGCCGCATTCCAGCGAATCCCATTGAGTGAAAGTTCCGATAACATATTGGAATAATGCATCATTTTATTAAATATTTTGACTTTGTTTCAGTTTGTATCATTTCAAGTTTTGTCAAGGCCAATCATAAGGCAAACTAATTTCAAATTCAAACAAAAAATAAATCAAATCAAAAAGTAACTGCAAATTATTCTTCTAAGGTACACTCCCACTCATTTGGAGCTGTCATAGCCGATTTTCTGGCAATCATTTATCAACGAGTGTGTTTCGACATACGAAACCGATACCAACTACAATTAAACCCTAAGTGATATATACAGAGGTGAATATATTACGTCTAAAACTCGGGCAATCAAAATAATAAATAATATCACAAGCGAAAGAAAATTATAAATATACATGTACGATAATATTATGCATTACAAGTTAATGATAATCGATTGTAACGATTCATTTCATAAATTACGAAGACACTGGTATGTTTCTCTAGCTGTCCTATTTCCTTAGCAAAGGCATCAATAAGGCCGCCTGCTCTATGGTCGTGGCCAGTCAAGTCTGGACCACTCATCTAAGAATTATAATTACGAGTTAAACAGTCTTTGTGTTCGTTTTGGGGGCGGGCTGCGGTGGGCGTACGGTGCAGCCTCCACAGTTTTTGGTATATGATCCTGATCATCCTGCTCATTTGGTTAAACTTCCGCTCAAATGTCCACAGTAGTGCACTTTTGGATGGAGTTGTAGTTGCTGCCGCTGGGTCCAGCGCTGCATTTGCGGGGAAGCACCTTAGGCACCATTTCGTTGACCCCACCAGCATCGCCACCCCCGCCACCGTCGTAGTTGTGATTGTTGTTCTGCAGGAAATGCTGCTGCTCGGCTGCAGCATGATTCAGCTCGTACAGCTCCATGTCGTCGTACTCGGAGATGCCAAGAGCCCTTGTGGGTGCGTACTGCAAGTCGTTGTCTTCATCCTCCTCCTCCTCCTCGTCGTCGGTGTGATGCTTATGCCTGGGCAAGGCCACCACAAAGTCTTCCAGACTGCGTTTCACCGCCGCATCCGAGCCCGTGCCCGAGTCCTTGCTGGACAAATGATCCTGCTGGGCCTCCAAATCCGTCTGACGCAGATAGCTCAGGGTCAGTCCCTGCTCCAGGCAGCGCTGTTCGTAAGACGGGGTTGTTGTCACGATGAGGCGGCTGAGGTTCACCTCGCTATTGCTACAGCCTAGATCCGCAAGGCTTCGCGGGCGTAACTGCGTCTGCTGCTGCGTGGGAAGTACATCTAGAACCAGCTGTGACTGGTGTGGCCGGAGCTGTGTACGATTGAGTGTGGTTAGTTGCGTGTGATCCTTGTCCAGAGTAGAATGGAGACTAGCCTGCGTACGAGCCGCCAGTCTCTCGGCAGCCAGGCTCATGCGCAGTTTCTTCTTTTGATAGCGTAGGGTGCACCAAATGATGCAACAGTCCACCACGACACATATGACGGTTAGTGTGATTATGCCCGTCAGCAAGACGTCCCAGTTAAGATTCTCCTTGACCACTACCAGCTCCGACTGCAGCGTAAACGTTCGCGAGTTGTCTGTTATCTCACAGCGGAAGCGTCCGGCGTCGTTGGACTGGGCATTCAGAATCACAAGCAGTTCCTTGTTGTTTGAAAAATAGTATCGATCTCCGTCGGGAGCTGTTGGCGAAATGTGTATCGGTTTGTTCTCCTTGAACCACTCGCGGTGCGGATGTTCCAGCTCAAAATCAGCATTGGCCGTTTCACTGAGGCACTGCAACACACATGTGCGCCCCACAACCACCTCCTGGTGCACTAAAGGAATGCTGGGCTGCGGTTTGTCTGCATTTAAAAAGAAGAAACATTAGTGAAGAACGAAATTAAAAGCTTCAAGGAACATACCATTTACCACCAGCGTTGCGTTGACCTTTATCTCGCCCGCAGCACTTAACGCAGTGCACGTGTAAATTCCAGAGTCGCTGGGCTTAGCGTTGGTTATCAAGAAAGCGTTTTCCTCGCGGATCACTTGCAGTCGACGCTCGGTTGCCGCTGGAAACTCACTGCCGCCGAACTTTTGTAGAGCTATCTCTGGTGTGGGATCACCACTGGCCGAGCAGACCAATCGAGCCATTTCGCCAGCGTCCAAGGTGAGATTCGAGGGCACTTGCAAAAAGGTGGGATGAACTGGGGATGTAGATATGATTATTAATATAGATAGATGGCAAAAGCGAAGAGTGATCGTACTTCCTATAGATATCTTAAACTTCTGTGCATAAGTGGTGCCAAAGGCATTCGATACCACGCACTGATAGCGTCCAGCGCTTTCGTAGGTCACATTCGTGAGCCTAAGATAGCCATAGATGGAGGTCTGATTGGTGCTCAGGTCATGGCGGATCTGCGTCTCCGTGCTGGCACCGTCGTGCACAGCCGGTCGCTCCTGGACGTGCTGGTTGTCGTGGCGCCATTTGATCTTCAGCTCATCGGCGGCGGCCAGCGATGCCGCTGTCGGCGAACTGGCAATACATTCCAGAGTGATGTTAGCTCCATTCACGGCCAGCATGTCGTCCGGTTCCTGTTCCACTCTCGGTTTTGGGGAGTCCACTTAAGGAAAGAAATACACTAGTTAGTAATCCGAATATCGAAGACAAAATTACACTTACCACACACCAACTCCGAACTGCTCATTGACTTTAAATGCCGATCTAGTAGATGCTCCGGATAGCCACACACCGCATGTTCTGCCGGCTGGGGAAAGCGATTCTTCAGCCACTGCTGGAACCAAATCAAATCGCAGTCGCAGATGAAGTTAAGCGATTTAAAAACCAATTTATTTAGGCGAAGCATGTGCTCAAAAGCGTTGACCTGAATGCTGGCCAGGGCATTGGAACCGAGATTGAGTATCTCCAGGTTGTTGAGACCACTCATCGCCTTACTGCTGATCTGCTTTAGATTATTGCCATGCAAATCCAAGCGTCGCAGTTTTCGGAGCGCTTTAAACGGAGCCGCTGCACTCTGGTCCTCAATGATCCAGGACAGGCGATTGCGACGCAGATTCAACTCCTCAAGGTTTTTTACACAATCAAAGGTGTTTTCCTGCAGATACTGCAATCGGTTGTGGGCTAGGTTGAGCGTTTTCAGGCGATGTAGGCAGTCCAAATGTTGGGGCTTGAACTCGTTGATTGCATTGTTCGACAGATCCAGCACTTCCAGCGACTGAGTGAACTCCCAGGTGTCAACCTCAATGCGCGAAATGGCATTAAACGACAGGTTGAGGTGTCGCAACTTTGTCAGATTGAAGAGACCCTGGCGGGATAGTGAACTGATCTGGTTCATGGCCAGATCAATGGTCTCGATGTTATGCATCACATAGAAGACGCCGTCCTGCAGCGCACGGATTTTATTGGACTTCAGTTGAAGATTTTTCATCGATTCCAGGCCACGGAACGTGGACCAGTTTATCTCCAGTTGATTGAAGTTGAGAGCCCTGCAGAAATGTGAAGTAAAAACTGTGTAGGCGATGTTAAAAATTTGTTTTTTTAGTAACTTACAGTTTCTTCAGTCGGTTCAGATTTTTAAACACCCTTATGGGAAGAGTGCTTAAGCGATTATTATTCAGTTCGAGGTCTGTAAGGTTATTTAGAGCCGCAAACGAGTGCTCATTCACATTGGTTATCTCGTTAAAACTGAGTATTCTGTGGGTGAAAGGCGAAGAAGTAAATAATTGCCTGCATTAAGGAACATTAGAAAGACTTACAAGTGAACTAGGCTATTTGGCTTCGGAAAAGAGTTAAGCTCAATGGTGTGCAACTGATTCCTGGACAGATCCAGCGTTCTCAGCAATGGCAAAGCTGCCAGCGCCTCGCTGGAGATGCTGGTTATATGATTGTTGGCCAATACCAAGTGTTTCAGACCACTGAGGCCTATGAATTTCGGGATCACCTCCAATAAATTCCTCTTCAATGAACTAAAATGAATGTAAAATGTAATTAGTTTAAAAGTATTATCTTGATCAACTTCAGCATCACTTACACTTTTGTCAAATTCGACAGATTACGTATATCCAGGACGGTTGTGTCGTTCAGTTTGTTGTTAGCCAGATGCCTGCGAAAAAGATAAAAATGAATTTATGCCATTTGTAAAATCCTTGGCTTGCCCAATGCACCTCAATTATGTCCCAATTATCGATGCAAAGCTACTGATAAAAACCGAGCGACGTTTGCATAATTTCGCCATGCATTAAATTGATTAAAAGCGCAACGATAAAATCGCAACCCCCCAAATAATAATGGTAAAATTGAGGGCAAATGTCGATGTAGAGGGTTGTGCCACTCTGTAATTTATATTCGCAGAGTATCTGATGGGGGTGGCTCGCCATTTCATCCCCCAGGAATTTATGGATCTAAATAATTCCAAACTCCACCAAACAGTTTCTATATTTCTGAGAAAATGGAGAACTATTGGAAGTTTTTGCATAAGAAAAAAGACTAGCGAACTAAGCAAATATTCCTTTCCATTCAATAGTATTTGTGGAGATCTGCCTGATAAGCATTATTGAAATTTCCTCCTCCATTTGTACTTACAGAGTTTGCACGTAGCTGGGCAAGACGGGCACCCGTTCCAGATGCAGTTTGTCGCAGTCGAAGAGGACATTGAGGCACTTGCAGTCCTTGGGGCAGTCGATGTTGTACTTATTACTGGCCTTGGCCGCCGCTGCAGCAGCCTCCAGTGCTTTCTGAGCATGCTCGTACTGCCCACCATCGTCGGCCACGAAGCCATTTGTCTCCAGCGATCCGGATTGGATGGAAATGCCGGAGGAGGAGGCCTGTACGCCAGCCGGTGGATGCGAGGCAGCCAGTGGGTAGTGCAATGCAGCCATATCCTCCTCGTCCACATCCGCATCCGAGTAATCCTCGCTGAGGGCCATGAAGTGCTGCCGGGCATTTGTGTAGCCTCTGTTACCACCACTC